TTAAGTGTTTAATTAAGGGTTCAATTTGCATTTTTATTGAGGTTATTGATTTTTAATTTTTAATTTCAAATTTAAGTTTGCTTTAATTTTAATTTTTCGTTTCGTTTTACTTTTAAGGTTACTTTTGATTTCAATTTAAATATTAATTCTAATTACTAAATTTCCTTGAATTCAATTTTTTTAAATTACTTTTAGTCTCAATTTTAATTGTTTATTAATTTTGTTTTAACTTTAGTTTTAATTTTAATGTTTATATTAATTCTAATGTAAAATTTTTAACAAATTATAATTAAACTTTTTTTTATTAATTTTTTTTTAATTTTCTTTTATTAATTTTTAATTAGTTAATTTTAACTTTAATTAATTACGTAAGCTTAATTTTAATTTTAATTATAATTTAGTTTTTAAAGTCTTAATTGTATTTAAGTTTCCTTTTTATTTTTTACGTTATTATATTTTATCCACCTTTAAGAATGAATGTATATATGTCATTCAATTATGTACCATAGGGTAACTATATATTCAAACTTACCGCTTCGACTTTCACTTTCAGCTGGCTTGAGCTGTAAAGCACGGTTCATCTGCAATAAATAAGATAAAGAAAATAAATTAGAAATCTAATTTTGATAAAATTCATAGAAATTCTTTGTGAGACACTTGTGGCTAACCACAGCAATTAAATTCAAATAGTAAACTCATTTGTAGAAGCTTTCACATGGAAGCTTTAAGGTTTGTATAAATAAATTTATTACTTACATATATTTAATTAGTTGAAAAGAAAATTTAATTCTATTRAAATATCACATATTACATATGTATGTGTATGTTTACCTTCATCTATAACTGCCATATGCTTACCGCTCTCCAGCCGTCCCAACATTAATTTTATTACCATTACTCAAATGACTAGTCTTTGTTTCGTTCGAACCACTTACTGACGTTGCAATCAAGCGCCARAGCCTTAACAAATCACCGGTGAAGTCAAAACGTAGTGAATAAGAGGAAAATTAAGCAAAAGAAATAAAATTAAAAAAGGTAAAGCAACAAGACTTTACAACAACTACCCGCAAAGCAATTGAAATGGGTTAGCAAACGGTCAAGTCCAATAAAAGCAAGAAACAACGAAAAAAGCAGGTCTTCTACCTTACGGGCAGGTGATGATGATGAGCCTTTTGGGTGACCGAAGCGCACCAAAGTCATTGGATCAAGTGGATCAATGCTGTGGCTTAAAAAATGAGTATTGCAAAGGATATTTGCCGTTATGTACAACAGTTAAATAGATAACGGCAAGTGTTTCGTGCAACCAGCTGTTGGAGAAATAAGCAAATAAGTCGCTTAGTGTTTGTTAGAGTGCAAGCAGGCGTGCACTAGTGTGGCGCAACTGCCTCAAAATACTTTAGAGAGTTGTTGCAGTTGTTGCTTCAATTCCATTTACCGATTGTTTTGCTTTTTTCCACTGCYACTTTCGTTATTTTTCCGCTTTCTGCACTTATCCTTCAAGTAAGTAATTCACCAGCAAGCTTAATGTTCTTGTCTTGCTTGTTGTTGTTGCCGTTGTTGAGTATTGAATTGGTGTTGTATAGAATGTTTCTWGTATACATATACATATGTATATATAGYAGAAATATATATGTATATTGTGAGTGAATCGGTATTTTGCTGTTGGTTGACCTCGTCGGCTATTGGGTGATTTGGATATTGAATTGTGCATTCCTTGTTGCTGTTGTTGTTGGCTAYGGCATTTAAGTGGTGATTTAGTTGAATAATTTATTAAAGGACGATTGGCAGGTGATTACGATTTACCACTTTGAGCGCACAGTGCCACAATGAAACGTTAGTTACTTGTACATATATATATATTATTATGTTCTTGTTGTGGGGCTGCTCTTGCTCGGTAGGTCTGTGGCACAGAAACAAAGGATTTGTTAGSCAGACAATTTTCACGCTAACTGATTGGTTAGGCACAAGCCATTGACGTAAGCGCTTGCTGCRCAAACAGCTTGATGGCAGGTTGTACAGTTGGATTGCATAATTTTAGGCGCTCAACGTTGATTGACGTACGCTTATAGTGAGTGGATTAAAAAATAATTAATCTATTTTCTTTTCGGTTGCAGTGCATAAATAATTGAACTGGGGTAGTTTTTTTTTAGCGATAAGTGAAGGCAGAAAAGGAAATGAGAATTAAATTGTTTGAATATATTTGAATAAAATGCCAAGAGAATGCCGGCAAATAATTTGTGTTCAATAATTTCGAATGCAGTGACCAGCTGTCTGAATTATAATGTGATTTTTCGTAAACCACACACAATAAGTTAGGAACCTTTGCATATTTTTAGTTAAACGAAAATAATACACAGTGTGAAGAAGTAAAAGACCAAAAATTTGGACAGGTGGTCACAAAACGAGTTTAAATATTCATAACTTTATTAGTCTATCTTATCCTGAAGCAAAAAAAGTAGACAACATTTTGAAATTAAATTCAGCTATGAAAAGACATCTAGTTAGGCTCTGAGCAACGCCTAAAGGTGTACTACATTTTGGCATTACTTCCAATTAAATAAAGGATTCTGCTGGATTTCGAGTCTGTCATTGAGTGAGATGAAATAGATAAGTCAATAAAATTACTCATTTTAGCTTAAGCTAAGTCAAAAAACTGGATAACGCCGAAAGGTATGCTAAATTTTTGGTTCATTATCATCTAATATCTCAAAATAACGAACAAGTTTTTACAAAAAAAAAGCTAACTCCATAGCTTGAAATTTTATCAAATTCAAAATTCTCTCTCGTTCTTCTTGATTCATATATAAAATGGATCGGCTCGATCCAGATCGCACTTAATGGCTAATTAGAAATCCTTTGAAACATAAGTAAGTTATTGCCATCACCATAGTACCGACATGAACTATGTCTACTAACCATAGCGAGTAAACCAAACTAACCGGCGAATTTGATCAATATACCAACTACACACTTGACTATTAACCCAAACCCTACCTACATACATAACCGAAAAACCAACGCTTCGAGTTTAAGCAAAGGCTAAATGCGAATTTTTGGTTAAACACTCGGTTTTAATTTTGCGGCATCAGCATCATCGTTGTCGTCAACATTGATGGACAAAGTRTTCGTGACAGAGACAACAAGAGCAAAGATGGCTCATTCAGTAAGCTTTTTCAAGCTTATGGTGCTTGGGTAAATTTAAAAGCATTTAAGGGGTATGAAGGTGGCATCAGCAACGGCAAAATAGTCAACAAAGCCGATGACAGCAACAATAAGAACAACAGCATGTATAGTACACCAAAAATTACAACACTGTTGTGTTGTTATTGTTCGCACACAGTCGTCGCTGTTGTCGGCGCCGACCACGCGCTTGTACAGCACTCAACAAGGATTCAGTTCATCGACCACTTAATTTATCCAGCTGAGCTTTGAGCCACGGCTCATTTATGCGTAGTTGAAACAAGTGAATTGCGACAGCAATGCAACGAAGCGGAAGTTCTAGTGGTTGGAGAGGAAAGTGTTGGAAAGCGTGGGCGTGGGAAAGAGTTACAGACTAAAGGYTGGCGAAAGCGTTGAAAATTCGTTTAGTTGTGAGTGAGAGCTGAAAATATGAAGAGAATGCTTCTGGATTTATTTTTTTTCGCGTAAATGCTGGTCTATATGGAAGTCAACTGCACTGAAATGTACCAAAAAGTGCGACAGAAGTTTGAGGCAGCATACGCTTCACGCAATGTACTTTWCAATGCATAACTGCTTTTAGGCGTTAGTGCTTAACTGCCTTGCTTTGCAGTTTTCTGTTGCGATTTTCTATTAAATTTTCATTTAGCACCGCATTGCACTAGCCGTGGCCTGTGTGCTACGTGGCAAAAGCAATTTGTAAGCATAGCATAATTTTAGGCGCAGCCAGCATGGTCGACCATCGCTGCGCGCTGCCTATTCATTATGCATTAATGTAAATACAGCAAATGTTTTGCAATCATTAACATAATTGAATTACAAATAAGTGCGCTATGTGTTAGCAGATACATACATGCAGTACACACACATTCATAGCTACACGCGCTAAAATCTGTTAGCATTTGTATATGCAGGCAAATACATTTGAACAGAAAATCACAAATTTACCAAATTCACTCCCAGCATGCTGTTTTGCATTTACATGCAGCAGCATTTTAGGCGCAAGCACGCGCACACATATTTATACGCGTGTAGATTGGTACACTTATAAGCCCACACCATTGGCRCTTTGAATTTGTAATTCCTAATGGTTGGCTTGTGCAAATTTCACTACAAGCTTTTTTAATTACCGTTACGTAGTGGCATTTGCTGTGGTGCAGCTGGGTGGCGCATAGCGGAAAAAAAACTGACTAATGGACTTAAATTTGCTGGAGTACGTACGCATAATAAACGTGTTGCTTGAGTGCGTTTTTGTAGCGGAGCTTTCGGGCGAGTGCGGAGTTTTGTGTAGCAAATGTATGAAGAGAGCAAATTTAAAAGCGGGGTGCGAGTTTGGCAGCAGACTAATTGTAAATAGCGAATTTTCCAAGTGAATTTGTTTTACTGCGCTTATTTATGTCTGCATTTATCTATTGCAACAAGCTTGCATATATAATAGTGGTGGGTATTATGATTGTGGGCAGACGGTGAATGATACATTTGAAAATACTTTGCATATTGCGCGCGCTCAATTGGGGCTTACAATTAGTGTATTGATGCCGAAGTAATTGAGTGCGTATTTTTTTTTTTTTGTGCTTGCCTGAATTGTGCATGCTTTTAAATGAAGATAAAATTAGTAAGTACAGTTACTAGTTTAATTAGCAGCCTAATTGTATACTTTGATTTACAAAACTGCCCTATTTGGAATGTGGATGCATGTTTTCTTAATCTATGTACAGAATTTTCAAAGCCCCGTACTACTAGAGCATCAGATTGGAAAAGTTAATAATAATAAAGATTCAAAAAATTGTTTAGCCTAATTTTATACTGAAAATAATTACTCAATGCGCCTAAATGCATGCCTTATTATTTGCAAATATAATTTCTATTAAAATTTCAATAACCACTCAAGTCTACCGACTTGCCTCACTTTATTTACCTTATTGCTCTGAAAACCACCTTAAGCTTAATTTAGTGTCAATTAATCAGCATTAGCGTTGCATAATTTTAAGCGCACAAATATCTTAACGATATTATACATATATATAGATGTTTGAATGCCATATTAATTAGGCTTGTCAGTCAGTTAATTTCGATGAAGTGAAACACTAATAATCGAAATTAGGCTGTCAATAATAGAGTTTATTAAACGTAAAGCGCTAAACAAATGTCTGGTGACAAAGTGCGTAAACAATATTATACACTCAGCTGGTCAATATTTAATAATCACTGAGTCAACGGCGCAATACGCATAATTGGAGAGTTGAATAAATATTAAGCAATGATAATCCTTTTGATGTCTAAACAAATTGTTCAAGTGGCTGTTTAGTTTCAAACCAGGTACAAGGGCACAAGGTGCTAAAAAGTAGGCTTTAAAACGGAAAATTTAAGGATGCTTTGTTAGAAGAATTATAATCTTTTATGC